TAATGAATTTTAAAAGTTCTTATAAATTCAAGTATCTCCAATGAATTCTAATATATTCTATTAAAATCTAGGTGTCATTAATAACTCGTGAATTTATAAGAATTTTATTAATAAAGGAATTGCAAGAGATTTGGATGGATTTCAAATTTAAAATTCACATCATAAATTTTGTAATTTTTAATGAAATTCTTATGGATTATATGAAAATCTATACAATTAACAAAATTTATTAAAATTTATAATATTTTAAAATCCATTAGAATCCCAGTTGAGAAATCCACAAGGCATGCATATGGCATTAGATGCATTCGGCATCCAAGTCCATGGGCTAATCTTGTTTCGTCGTGCCAGGATATATGATAACATTGAATAGAATATATTCTCTATAAAAATAACTATGAATAGAATATTATTATGTGGAAATTATATCCATACATGTTTTTTAATTTTTAAATTCAAAAATCGAGTTTAAAAGTTTTTTATTAAAAAATAAGGTGATAGTTCAAAATTTTAATAATAATAATAATATAATAAGCTTAATATAAACAAGTCGTAATTATTTTGATATTATCAACAAGAGGATGTCAATTTCATGACGAGGAAGATTGGTAGGACTGATTTTATCATATTCATTTAAGTAAGATATGTAATTTTCATTTTTAACTAAGAATGTCGTTTTTAATAGTCAAATTTCATATGACTAATTAATGTCATTTTTAATTTTCAATTTCATTAATAAGAATTCATAATTTTATTTTTTTTGACAAATGGTACTCTACTTTTCTGTCTTCGATATTAGTCATTTAACTTTGAAAAAATCATCCTTTAGTCACTATGTTAGACGTCTCTTTGAATAAAAGTAACAAAACAGATGATATTTACATGGAATGATGATTTGACAACATTACAATGTTAAACCGATGGTTGATAGGGGTCATTTGGGTCCGGAAAGGGTCCAAGTGAAGCGAATTTTTAAATTTTAGGATTTAGTCGTGTTGAACTTTGACTTTTAATTTTATTACTTTAGGGTTTGTCACCCGTTAATTTGCTTTAGATATAATGTTGGAATGTTATCGAGTCATTTTTTCATCATACCTCTGTTTTCTTAGTTATATGCAATGGATACTGATAGAGCGACTAACAAGATGAATTCTACAAAGTTAGATGACTCATAATGAAAAAAAAAAAAAAAAAAAAAATCATTGACCATTTACAAACAAGCATATAAGTTCTGTGAGCAAACAGGTTTTATCCCATATATGCTTAGGTTTGTGTATGACAAGAAAGTACTGAATTAGCCTTTCTAAAAGTTAAAACATATATACATGTATTTATTTAAATTTTGTCCCGTTTGGCCCCCATTTTATGGAAATGAAAATGGGAGAATTAGTATTTTTCTGAAAAATGAGTGGTTGAAAAAGAAGGAAAAAATTTCGATTTACGTGTAATATTATTTTATGAAAGATTGTAAGGTTGAAAATAGAAAAATGAAAAATGAAATGTAAATTAATGGGGGCCAAAATTATCTTCATACGTCCCATGGAGGTCAATTCCTTTTTAGTTATCAAGAAGCAGGGATGTGTACAAATTTATAAATTTAAAGTTACCAGATGGACGCGATATCTTTGCTAGTTTTGATATTGTATTGAAATATTTAAAAGATTAGATTATAAAAAAAATGACACATTTATTTAAATTTTGACTTCAACAAAAATATAATGCCGACAAACTATCTAGAAAATACGTTAACATAAAAAATCACTATGTTTAGGTGAAATGTTACCAAAATGTCAATTTCACAGCGTTTACATCATCATACACAGCAGATTTATATATAGTAAAAACCGTTATTAAATTTCATTTTCTCATTATTACATGTTTATACTGCTTTGTTTATTGATTTTTTATGTTAATCTGTCAAATCATTTTATTTCTTCTAATTTTTTAATTCTAATAAGAATGTTTGTTACGGTTTACTTAGACTATGGACTTCTGAATTTCCTTTTAGTCCGTTAGCTTTTCACCATTTTCGTTAATGTTCGTTAAAAAAAAAAAAAAAGGTTGAACCCCAACCTTGAGGGCTCCCACCGCCCCGTCCCTAAAACTTTGTGAGGGAGGTAAATCGTGGGATGTGTCCCAACAAGTCATGGAACAAGAGCTATCTGTACACTGCTCCTACAAGGAGTCCAATTCCATGTCTCAGGAATCAATCTCCCACACTGCGGCTGCCAGCAAGGCGTGAGATAACATCACTCATGTCCTTTGCACCACTGGGCTTTTTTTTTTTTTTTTTAATTGTAGGGTATCCTCGAGATTTTAAAGAATTTTAAAAGTTTTTATAAATTCAAGTTTTTCCAATGAAATCTAATATATTCTATTAAAATCTAGGTGTCACTAATAACTCGTGAATGTACAAGAATTTTATTAATAAAGGAATTGCAAGAGTTTTGGATGGATTTCAAATTTAAAATTCACATAATAATTTTTTTTGAGATTTTGTCATTTTTAATGAAATTCTTATGGATTATATGAGAATCTAAAAAATTTATTAAAATTTATAATATTTTAAAATCCATTAGAATCCCAGTTGAGAAATCCACAAGGCATGCATATGGCATTAGATGCATTCGGCATCCAAGTCCATGGGCTAATCTTGTTTCGTCGTGCCAGGATATATGATAACATTGAATAGAATATATTCTCTATAAAAATAACTATGAATAGAATATTATTATGTGGAAATTATATCCATACATGTTTTTTAATTTTTAAATTCAAAAATCGAGTTTAAAAGTTTTTTATTAAAAAATAAGGTGATAGTTCAAAATTTTAATAATAATAATAATATAATAAGCTTAAATTAATCTACATGCCCATCCCATTCCACACAACCCATCACATTTCACTTCCAAAACCTTAATCATCTCCCTCTCTCTTCTCTATATCATAAACCGCCATCAGAAGGCCATTGTTGACACGACGTTTCCTTCCTCCTCCGATCTACTGTGTAGTCAAAGTTTTGAGGTGATTTTTGTTGGTGGTTTGCCAATAGTGGTGGTGGTGCTTGTAGTTGTGGTGAGATGATAGTAGTACTGGCAACGATGGTGTAGGTGATAGTGGTGCAAGTGTTTAGGCGCTAGCGGTGGTCGTGGGTGGTGCAACGTTTGGTTGGTGTCAATTGGATTGGGAATGGCGTGAGACGAAAAATGCTTGTTACCAAGTATTTTGATGGTTGTGACCAATATGTAATATGTCTAATAAAATAGATAATTTGCGAATAATATGTGACTTCAAAATGTGATTTTGTGAATAAATTTGTAATCATGACTCATAATTTGTTAAGTTGTACTAGTTAATTTGACTAATTTTTTACCGTAAAATAAGTTGCGATTTATAAAATTTGTGATTTGTGACTAATAAAAAATACGTGACCTATTAATTAATTTAAAAATTTGTGACCGATAAATAAGTTGTGACCTATAAAAATTTTAATTTGTGCTTGTGAAATAATACGTGATTAATTAATTTGATAATTTGTGATTGATAAATAGTTCGGACTTATAAAATTTGTGATTTGCGACTGTAGCGTTTTATGATTGTAACTAATATGTAATTGTTTTAATATTGTGACGTTAATATATTTGATTTATAAATTATTTTTATTTATTTAATTAATTAATAAAACTTAATTATAACTTTATTTTTGAAATTTTAAAACAAATTATTATTGTATAACAACGTAACGTAATATGTCAAAAATACATAACACATATTCTCTATGTGAGAAGGCCAACATATGAACTATAAAAAATCGTTTGAATATCCGAGATCCCAATTTAAGATTCGTCATAATATTGCACTTGTTAGATAAAGACTTTTTGAGAAGCAATTCACTGAAAAGTTTATTTATTTTTTCGGAATATTCGGTCAAAAGGTAGGGGAAAATATGAAAAAATGAAATATTTTTTTTTTTTTTGGAAGAATGTATAATTAAAAATGAGTATACGAGATAATTAATTCTCAAATTCAAAATCAACCAAGTTCCTCTGTCTTAAAAAAAAAATAATAAATAAATAAATTTAAAGGGTGGCCACTGAATTTATAGCCCAATTTACTTGTCATTTGTCACAACTTTTACTATTTGATCGAGTTAACCAACTTCCGCTTTAGCTTAAATTTGTTCAGTCTGTTTAAATTTCTACCTAAGGTACATTTTACAAACAGAATTTCGCCATCTTCCAGGTGTTTCTAGCTCAACTCGACACCCATCTCATCTAAATGTAACATTCTTATCGGCTATATTATTCATCTTAATTTATTTTTCCATCCTTATGTGGCCTGCTTGTAAATTACTCCACAGACTAGTAATATAAATGTCCAAAAGTCTGTTTGAAAATTCAGTTCCCTAACATTGTCATATTCTGATTGTAATATTAGTCAATTTCAGGCCTAACCTCTTGAAGAAAGGAAAATACAGATAGCATCTGAATTGTTATTTTAGTAATTCTTCTTAGAGTAAGCAATCTAACATCGTATGGGAAATGCCATCTAAGAAAGTCCATGAAATGCAATCGTCTTGACTAAGTATTTTTATTTATTTATTTATTTAAAACCCCCTCTTGTTAAAGTATACATGCACAATATTCGTAAGTAAATAAATATTTTTGCTAGCTCTACTATTATATTAAATCGTCTTATTTAAAATTTTTAAAAATATTCAAAAGCAATTTGGCACGATTAACAAAACCGTTGTTCGATAACCCTTTCTTCCGCGATTCATGATAAGGAAAGGTAATGGTAATTACTAAGCAACCCGCAACCCCTTGGGGTTATCCTGCACTTGCCTAACTTTATTGAAACTATAGTATAAACATCTTGACTATGCATGCAAGAAAGACAAAAATTAAGATTAATATCTTTGAAATGTCTAAGCAAAAATGAAGAAGATCATCATGCACACGCAAAATCAAGGCGGCCATTCATCTATATAATCCCCCAGCTATAGAACTCCTTAAACAACACACATAATAACAAAGCACAATTGCAGCAAACATGAATTTCTCCAAAAATCTCCCCCTTTTAGTGTCCCTTTGGGCAATCACATTCTTTGCCTATACCCATGCTGCCACTTTTGACATTGTAAACCAATGTACCTACACTGTCTGGGCTGCTGCCTCGCCCGGTGGCGGTCGAAGACTTGACCAAGGCCAATCGTGGAATATTAACGTTGCCCCGGGAACTACCCAGGCCCGAATCTGGGGGCGTACTAATTGTAACTTCGACGCAAATGGTCGTGGCCAATGCGAAACCGGAGATTGTAACGGGCTATTAGAATGCCAAGGATATGGTAGACCTCCTAATACCCTAGCCGAATTTGCCCTTAATCAACCTAATAACTTGGACTTTGTCGACATCTCAAATGTCGACGGATTTAACATCCCGTTGGAGTTCAGCCCCACCACCAACGTCTGTCGCCGACTCGTATGCAATGCTCCTATAGTCCAGCAATGTCCTAGTGAACTACGTACTCCTGGCGGTTGTAACAACCCGTGCACTGTTTTCAACACCAATGAATATTGTTGCACCAATGGACCCGGAAGCTGTGGCCCAACACCATTGTCGAGGTTCTTTAAGGAAAGGTGCCCGGATGCTTATAGCTACCCGCAAGACGATCCGACAAGCCTGTTCACTTGCCCGGCTGGTACGAACTACCGTGTTGTCTTCTGCCCGTGATCAAGCTCTTAAATTTGCTGTATAAGTGGGTGCACATGTAGTGTTGTGCAACATTAATCTCAGTGAAATACAAATATAGAATAAGAGTCTAAATTAAAGAATAAGACTGGAAATGGTTCCTGTTCACCTGTGTTTTTGATATATAGTAACTAAGTTAAGTTTTACTCAACTTTTTTTTAGCAGTATTACTATGCATAAATGCCCTACATGCAATATTTGCTATTCAATTTTAAATGAAAGACAATGAATTCGAAGTGCCCAGGAAGACCAGTACTTTTCTATGAGGTCGGGCCGAACTGGAAAATGTCAGGCCTAGGTTGGCCTGCAGGCACAGCTCATACTGTATTAGACCGAGCCGGCCAGTTGGTTCAAGACCTTTCCGAGAGATAATCTTAGAAAAATAACAATGTTTTCTCTCATCCATGATTAGAAATATTCTAAGGAATAAAGAAAATCGTTTTAATGAAGTAATATAAAAGTAATACATTATTTACTGATTATACTTGTGAAATAATACAAAACCATTATGTACATTATCTGTTACGGCCTTCTTATCTAATATGAAAGATGATATGCATGAAATTTCTTAGACTTGAGCCCGAGCTTCATACACCATACCCGAGCTTCCAAGCCCTAACATTTCCTCACTAAAACGCCTCAAGAGCAAGGTCGGGCCTTGTCAAGGTCGGGCTTCATTGACATAAAAGGACTTCTCCGAGCTCTCATCCCAAATCTCCTAGAAGTTATTCCGATCCTGACTGTAGCTCCCTGTATTGACCTTTATCTATATACTTAAAAGTCTTCACCCTACATAATTAATAAGATAAGGATGGCAGGTGGACTAATCCTTCTAGGATCCAATCACCTGCCTCAATAAATACAGGACCTCAATTCATTGTTCAAGTATGCATCTATCTAATTTTCAATTTATAACCTCATGAATAAATTCTCTCTCTCTAACTTAAGTATCGGAGAAAAGACGAGAACACGCACGTTTTTGTTTTGGGGTACAAAAAATTTCTGTTCGTGCTCATTCGCAATTATTAAGCTTGAAAATCAACATATACGATTTTTGATAGTATCAAAATGATTTCATGATTTCGAAATTATCTTACCTTTTAAATAGAATTTTCAAAATTTTGTTATCCTTTGTCTTTTAAAAAAGGAGTAAATCCGTAAGTCTAGTGGGTTAGCGTTAGCTCATTATTATGATTAAATAAATTTGTATATTAAGTGCACTTAGTAATATAAAATAAGAAAATAAAAGTAAACCTTGTTAAGGGAGAAAAATCCCACATTGATTAAATACCGAAATATTGACTAACTTAAAAATATCTTGGATTATTCTTCTTAATAAGGTTGACCTTTTAAGATGGAATCACAAGTCTTTACATGGTATTAGAGTCCATTAAACTCTAACGACCAATTCGATCTGATAAAGACTCTAAAAATGAGCACACAAATTTCAAGATTGATCTGCTCAAACGAGACATCATCTTGCGGAAACATGTTAAGGGATAAAAATCTCACATCAGTTAAATACCGAAACATTGATCATCTTAAAAAGATCTTGGACTACTCCTCTTAATAAGGTTGACCTTTTAAGATAAAATCTCAAGTCTTTACAATCCTAACAAGTAATATAATTTACTTTACCCTCAATGGGTTGTTGTTGAAATTGCACTATATTGAAGAACATAATTAAAATGTGATTTGGACTCATGTCCTTCGTTTTATCTTAACTATGATATACAAAAATGGAGGTTCGTTGAATAATTTTTATATAAGACGAAAATATTAACATGACCTAACATATATGCGAATTTCTTAAATATCCCTCAAACCGCAACTTAGTGAAAAATGTACAGTATGTTAGATTCCACACATTCAACAAACACTTGGTATGGCCCCCAGGAGCACATCCCAATTGGCAAAGGACGGAGTTCTTCAAGGCGGGCAGTTTAGAGGTCGCGGATTCGATTCATGGGGCTCTTAGAAGGCAGGCTTTCTCCTGGAAGACAATATATTTCCTGGAAAGCAGGAGTTCTCCTAGAAGGCAATGCGCATACATGGGTTTGACTCGTTCGACACTTTGACAATTCAGTTGGGAAAGCTCTTGGACCCTGGCCAGTTTGGGGCACAACCAGCAGTTTACCTGCTCTGCGTGAAGAGGGGTTGGATCGTATGCTTCAGGATTAGTCGCTGTAAGGCGGACACCAGAGTATAAATAAAATAAAATAAAATAAAATAACATAAACACTTGGCATGTGCAAATATCGTTCACAAGACAAAGTGATGCATTGGGGCTGTAAATTTCAGATTAGCAAATGCACAATATTCCCCTGTCCGAGCCCCATTTTCTGAAAAATCATTTTTTTCTTAAACCCATTTTCAACAATACTTTCTCTTAATGAAATAATTTTCTATGTAAATCCAAAATATTTGCATAATTTTTCACCATACATTCTTCACAAAAATAAAAACTGTTGCAAAAATCATTTTTCATTGGAATAAAACTCAAACATGGGCTACACATAGAGATCGTGCAGTGTTTGTGCAAATTTTTTAAGGAAAATTCTAAATGTACACAAACGAATCCCGAATGTTTTACACAATGCTGACGTGGCGATACATTTGAATTCAAAAAAACGTCTACAGTGGTCAAAATATCGCTCTCTTTCCTCTCTCTTCATTTAACAAGAAATGACAATTTACAGTGAATGCTGACAATTTCTCTCTCTTCAGACGTCTCTGTCTCTCTGTGGGTAGGGTTCAACCTTTCACACTTTACAATGAAAATTCATAATCTCTCTGTTAGACTCTCTCTTTCTCTCTAACGACGGGCCGAAATCCCTCTCTGCAACAGTGGATTTGTATTCTAGACGAAGACTTCCTTCAATTAGCCGACGGCGAGGAGAACGGGGAAGACAACGGCATCACAGTATTTGAAATAGCTCCTTCAGGTTGAGATCTGAAACGATTTTTATATCCATTTTTGGTATTATTTTAACAAAGCGGAATATTCAAAACTTAAATAGAAAAACAAAATTACAATAAAGCATTTTAGTTAATTGAATATTGAAAAAGTTTGAAAGGCATTTTTCTTTGGTCTGTGTGGAATTATTTTAATTTCTGTGAATAGTTGACGGTCTACAATTTTTTATTTTTATTTTTATTTTTATTTTTTCCTTGCGAGATCTATAATGTTCTTTTCAGTGGCAATAATTTAATGTCTTGGTCATATGATGATTGTATATTCTTGCATATTCGCGTTTTGGGGTAAATTATTTCTAATAATATTTGAACATTTTCTATCAATTACTCTGATTCTTATAACAAAATTACGACACTGAATAGTTTTGTTTATATATATCTTTTGAAGTCTAGTGAGGACTTTGGTCCATTAACATTGATTTGCTTGTGCATATCTCTTATGTGCCGTGATTTAATGGCAAAAGCATATCCTTTGTGCTACTTCATGTCTTCCTCATTGTATTTATGCCGAGTTTAGCAAATTTTAGATTTATTTATTGAATTTGTATAAAAGCAAAGTTTATATGAGAAAAGTAAATTTGTGTCCAGTGTTTGAATTGATATTAAGGCAGTTCTCTCCTCGTATCAATTGAATATCATCCTTACTTGGTTTGCCCGGTGTTAATGTATCTCGAGTTTAAATGATTTTATAGTTCATAATCTAAACACTGAAGAAAAATATAATGTAGTACTTGCAGTCATCTACACCAAAGTTCCACTTCAATTTAGATTGCAAACACCCCAGTTAGATAGAATTTTTTTGCATTTATATTAAATTACATATACAATATGTTGGTATGCAGTACTTGATACAATTGGACAATACTGACAAGATTTTGATTTTAGCTTTATTTTCTTCTTTTGTATTGTCTGATTCAATTCAATCCACCTTAAAACATGCCATTAGTGTCTTTATTTGTTTAGTAGCCAAGTAATAAAATCATCACTTATGTTTAGATAGTATATGATCTTGACAGAAAGAAGCGACATTTTATGACATTTTGTTTATTTACCTTTCCATTTGGCCCTTCTTTCGCTATAGAAACCAAGTGATGTGATATCTATTTACATTCACCTCAATTAATGTGTTGTATGTATAGTTAGAATGAACTTTCAAAACTTCAAATGTAAAGAGAATAAAATGTTAATTTAAGACACTATGTAATCTGCTTTTTGCACATCTTTCATGTGTTACAGTTACTTTTATTTCAACAAGCATATATAGTATGTACATTTCATTTTTTGGCACTTGATTAAATTTTTTAATGTCTCTGTTCTTTACTCAGATTCAACATTTTTGTCACTTGATTAATTGTTTTTATTGGATTAGGATTGTTCTATGGGTGGCCAAAATAGGGGATTATGTCATTTTTGTAGGGTTGCGGGACACGTGTTGCCGGAATGTCCAAAAAAGATTAAATGCCCAAACTGTGGCGAGGGCTTCGTCAGGTGGTTGGAGGTAGAAAAGAATTCGGATAATAAAGGGTTGTTGTTCCATAGTTTTACCTGCAACTGTCGGCTTTTCAAGTTTTCTAACATTGCGCCGTATAAAGAGTATTCATTGCAAGGTGAATCAAGTGGCACTACCAACGGAAGTGAACCGGTTGACGATTTGTCCCGTATGTTGACGACGTGTGCAAAAATAACCAAGGAGAGAAACTTAGAGATTTCATTCAACATCACCATACGCAAAGGGAAACGAGTTTTGAAAGATGTAGAATGAAATATATGTAATTGAGTAGCTTCGACTTATTGTAATTAAAATTGCAGTGATGGCTATGTTTGGAGCACATTTTCTGTGAAGTTGTCTTGATGTATGTAGTGAACTATTACAAGTGTTGTCAATCAAATCCCATGTTGCAGTACATTGCTTATTTGGTTGTCTACCCAATTATGTTGCAGTACTTACAATGTTGATCTTATTTTTCAATGAATCATCTCTAAGTGTTATATAAATAGGCTTCAATCATTCAGAAACCTCTATAGTTTTATGAACCCACATTCTACTACAAGGTTTATGAACCCACAGCGAACAATTCAATCCGTTTAAAGCAGCTGGATCTCAAGATTTTTGTTCTCAAACCAGCAACATCTTGGGCAACATGTTAACTTTACAATCTGAGGTAAGTTTTCCAGGAGAAGATTCGACTAGCTTTATATGTGCAAAAAGCAGCAACTGTCTACCAAATGAGTTTTTTAAATAATGGATTTAAACAGGGGATAAATAACCTCTTACGTGTCTATCTCGATGAAGAGATAAAGAAAAAACTATTCCATTTTTTTACAAGAGATGCTGTAGTGAATGTTCATATTAACCAACCATGTATGAAAAGAAATTCACTTCTATGGAAATGAGATCTGTGGGAGAGGCCAATAATGAAATGGCATTATTTTTTAGGTATATTAACATCCCTTTGACCTTTATGTAAATAAAAAAACTCACGAAGAATGTTAAAATCTATATTTTTACTGCATTTGATAAACTGTAGAAAGTAAATGCTCCTTCAACCTGTTTGAAACTCAATGGACACTTTACATTCCTTGTTTTCAGAAATTACTATTTACATACTACCTAATATAAAACTCATGCTAAATTAAAGAAAACCAATGTTGTACCTAATATAAAACTCGTCAAAAATATATTACCAAGATTCCACAACAGTCAACTACATCAAATGCTGGAATTTAAAACTCACAACAGTCAACTACATCAAAATGCTAGAATTTAAAACTACATCAAAATGCTGGGATTTAAAACCCGTACATCAAAAAACAACTCCTACATAAAAATGAGCTGGAATTTTAAAGCCCTACATCAAAATCTCCAATGCTCTCCTGCATGCCGATCTCCTGCGAAATTGGAATTCATTAAAAAATCATCGAAGTATGGCAAAGTATGGCAAGTCATTGATACAATATGATTGTACTAAAGAATAAACAACAATCAAAATAAGCATTTTTTCAATTGGACCTAAATTGAGGTTTAAGAATGAACAACAATCAAACTGCATCTAAAATGCTATTGTAAGCAGTAGTGAACTTAAGCACTGTCCTATTAGTGAACATGAACAATAATCTGCTATTTTAAGCCCTACTTATAAGTAATGTTACTCAAATAAATATTTTTTTTTATCGTAACATGTGAGTTTGTGTATGTATAAGAAAACAAAGAAGTAGCCCGAGAAATGGATTAATGCTATTGTAAGCAGCAAATATAAATTGAGGTTTACCTATAATTTCAACAATCAATCATATTAACTATCACTTCAATTTCTTAAACTGCATCTAAATTGAGGTTTACCTATAATTAACTTATTGTACACTCGATTAACTATCACTTAATTCACCAGAAATAATTAAATAAAAAGTCGTAAATAAGTGAATAATGCGTAATTATCATGCAAATAAATTGTTGGTGCCCAGTGCAATTGCCAAAATCATTTCACGCTCTACGNTTTGACATTTTGTTTATTTACCTTTCCATTTGGCCCTTCTTTCGCTATAGAAACCAAATGATGTGATATCTATTTGCATTCACCTCAATTAATGTGTTGTATGTATAGTTAGAATGAACTTTCAAAACTTCAAATGTAAAGAGAATGAAAGGTTAATTTAAGGCACTATGTAATCTGCTTTTTGCCCATCTTTCATGTGTTACAGTTACTTTTATTTCAGCAAGCATATATAGTATGTACATTTCATTTTTTGGCACTTGATTAAATTTTTTAATGTCTCTGTTCTTTACTCAGATTCAATATTTTTGTCACTTGATTAATTGTTTTTATTGGATTAGGATTGTTCTATGGGTGGCCAAAACAGGGGATTATGTCATTCTTGTAGGATTGCGGGACACATGTTGCCGGAATGTCCAAAAAAGATTAAATGTCCAAACTGTGGCGAGGGCTTCGTTAGGTGGTTGGAGGTAGAAAAGAATTCGGATAATAAAGGGTTGTTGTTCCATAGTTGTACCTGCAACTGTCGGCTTTTCAAGTTTTTTAACATTGCGCCGTATAAAGAGTATTCATTGCAAGGTCAATCAAGTGGCACTACCAACGGAAGTGAACCGGTCGACGATTTGTCCCGTATGTTGACGACGTGTGCAAAAATAACCGAGGAGAGAAACTTAGAGATTTCATTCAACATCACCATACGCAAAGGGAAACGAGTTTCGGAAGATGTAGAATGAAATATATGTAATTGAGTAACTTCGAGTTATTGTAATTAAAATTGCAGTGATGGCTGTCTTTGGAGCACATTTTCTGTGAAGTTGTCTTGATGTATGTAGTGAACTATTACAAGTGTTGTCAATCAAATTCCATGTTGCAGTACATTGCTTATTTGGTTGTCTACCCAATTACGTTGCAGTACTTACAATGTTGATCTTATTTTAGCATTCTGCATTTGATACCTTTGACCTTTATGTAAATAAACAATGTATAATTTTTTGTCCACCTGTAATTTATTCACATTGAATTTTCAATTTGGGTTTAATATAGATTCGTTAATCTGTATAGTGATAACAGTTTCTTGTAACTGTAGAATCTGATACAATTTTGGCTAAACTTATCATTCTTATCAATGTAATTTCAACCAAAGTAGAAGGAAGGAAAATCCAAAAGCTTTCCCTCTGGCAGTTGATTCTCAATAACAATTACCCGAACTCCTTATGAAAACAAGTCATAATGTTCACCAACAAAAACAATGCCCACACAAAGGTCCGAGGTCTACAGCTCCAACATTCTCGTCCTAGAAGACATGAAGCTCACCTAAATGTTCTCTTCTGGACGTAGCTCTGCTAGCTTTGGTGTAGTACCTAGTACTTGTTCCATGTCAAAGCGAACTTCAATATTCCTAATACTATAAGCCAATAAAGAACTTGGCAAGTTCAAGGGCACCTGTCTTCGTTACATTAGTTTGCAAATGAAACATCTTGGACAACATGTTAACATCCCTTTGACCTTTATGTAAATAAAAAAACTCACGAAGAATGCTAAAATCTATATTTTTACTGCATTTGATAAACTGTAGAAAGTAAATGCTCCTTCAACCTGTTTGAAACTCAATGGACACTTTACGTTCCTTGTTTTCGGAAATTACTATTTACATACTACCTAATATAAAACTCATGCTAAATTAAAGAAAACCAATGTTGTACCTAATATAAAACTCGTCAAAAATATATTACCAAGATTCCACAACAGTCAACTACATCAAATGCTGGAATTTAAAACTCACAACAGTCAACTACATCAAAATGCTGGGATTTAAAACCTGTACATCAGAAAACAACTCCTACATAAAAATGAGCTGGAATTTTAAACCCCTACATCAAAATCTCCAATGCTCTCCTGCGTGCCGATCTCCTGCGAAATTGGAATTCATTAAAAAATCATCGAAGTATGGCAAGTCATTGATACAATATGCTCTCAGTGACCTTCAATTTATAAAGGTTTCTTATAGATAAAATTTATTCTAACACCAATTACATAGGCAGATAAAAATTTTTCTAACACCAACAACATTTAAAATCTAAAATATGCCTTGAAAACATGATATGTGAAGGAGTTTGGACTTCAAATCTCATCAATTCAAATGCTATAATTTATCCAATGGCTACTGCTACTGGTCTTTCAACCGTGAATCATCTTGCCAATTTGAAACAAATACAAATTGATTCCAAACAACCAATTATCATTATGGAAGACAAGCTTAACTCATTACCGAACATTGAACATTATACAAGAATAGTTAAAAGCAAGAAGTGCACCTGAACGTTTAATGAGGACGAAACTTTATCTTTTTGCCCGTTCGATGTAGATGAGTTTGCCATCTGTAAATCATGGAGAACACACTCAGTTCAATCTATAGAGTGATTATCAAATTATAGAATTCTGCTCGAAATCATACCTTTCGACTGAGTTTTGATTTTCTAGAACCAGCTTCTAGACATCCCTTTCGGCGAAGTTTTTTAGGAGCTCCCTTGCTTTTTGTGTATTTTGGGTCGAAGATGATTCCGCTAGCACACTTTTCGGCTTCATCCAAGCGTTGAGAGCCCACGCTACTATAATTCAACATGGAAGAATCATTTATTTGGATTTCAATCTATTCCATGATACCACGTGACCGTGACTCATCGTGTGCTACGATGTCCGCTAACTTCGCAAATGCATTGCACATTTCCTCATATCTAATTTGGTCTGGAGTACTAATCCAACCATCATACATAATCGGAACCCTCATGTACAATCTGTTCACATCCCTTCTCCATCTCCTCATAATGTACTTCTCAGGAACTAAGTGCACTTGGTTTCGAATCAAAACCGTAACCGCGTGCTTGCAAATAATTCCTCTGAACTCGAACAGGTGACAACTACACTCAAACTCACATTCATTTCTACGAAAGCACACTTTAAAGATTTTTGTCTTCATACAGTTGTTCAGAATAATGTCCTCACGTACATCGTACGTAGTATGCAAGTGCGTCTCATGATGTCCTAAGACTTCACAATACATCTTTCCAGTAAATTGTTCTTGAAACTCCTTGAACTTCGCGATGGTGTAAACTGATTGGAATTGCCTTTCCATGTCGTACCTTGTCGCACATGGGACCATTTGTGAAAATGATTTGAAGTCCGCTTGGAACTCCTTTTCAACTTTACTTCTCAAGGCACGCTCATATTGCTCTACAAACTGCTTCAGAGATGTTTTCGAATGAACATAGCCGTCAAAAAATGCATTAATACCTTCACTCCGTTGCGTGGTTGACATACCGGCCCAAAATGAGGTTTTCAAAAAGCATAGTACCCATCGACCTCTTTCATTGTACAGGCTGCTCAACCAAGCATATTCTAGCAAGTCATATTCG